GGGAATTCTGGGAGTTGAAGTCCACTCATCTTAAAGTGGCCAAGTTTGGACAACACTGACTTACGGGGAGGGAGGGTTGGCAAAAAGACAAGCAGGGCTCCATAGTACTACTAACTCTTGGATAATGCCCACTGTTCTCCAGATTTTCAAATGAATGAGTGAAAAATACATAAATAAATAAGTGGCAGAAAATTGGTATGATAGCTACATCTTCTTTCTGTATTCTCACATGAGGACAAGTCACTCCCGCCCATTTTTAATTACAAATAGTTGAAGACTCATTTGTAATTAGAAATATGTGGGGGGATACCTGTACTGAATTCTTTGCCTGAAAAGACTGCTCCTTCCTGATTTATAGTAGATAGTGCAAGATTTATTATTTTTTAAATTTCTGTGTGCTTAACCTTGGCCACCTTATTGTAGTTATAGTATGTTCTGGATTTTCAAGGATACCTGAGTCCGTCCTTCCCTCAGCTTCTGCAGTTATGAAAACTGCTATCAAGCATAACTATAACTACCTAAATCATATTTTTATATTTGCTGGGTAAATACTGTGCGTGCCAGGAAAGGTTTGGATTAAACTCTTACAAATTATATTGACATTCATTGAAGATGGTGAAAATGACTAGAAGTATATAAGTAAACTCATTCCATTTTTCCCCATGTAAATTCACAGTACGCCCATAAAATACACATAACTGTAAGCAGTATTTAAGAAAGACAAATGCATACAGAGTATACTGTACATGTAGCTTAATGGGCAGTAGAAGTCCGAAACCTCTGAATTTCTAATGTTGTGCATGAACAAATGAAAGGTATTGCTTTTATGGATTACTTATAAACCTCTCAAAATAATTTGGTTGAGCATTGTGAATATGATATAATTTGGTGTGATCCCAGAGGGATCCTTTTAAAGCCCACCTAAAAAGACCATTGGGAAGTTTTTCAAACATTGCTAAAAGTGTTATATTCCTGGCATGATATTAAGGCAATGGCTGGGATAAATCTATCAATATATTTTAAATCCAATCTGCAGATGTGACTGGAGATCAAATCCAGTTCAGGAAAAGTTTTCAGCAAATATAAAGGTTGTTATAAAGGTGTCCTTCCTGGCTGCACTGAACAATGGAACATATCTTACATTCTTGTGAACTTTAGCTGTCACATTTCCTACAAAAATAGCAATTGCTTCTATTAACCACAGGATGACACCACCAAGCATCCAAAAATCACATTTCTTGCACCAAATTGTAATAGTCTGGCATTTTTGTCAGGATATATACTTTAGAAACATTAGATGGGCTCCTAACATGCAACATCTTAATAAAACAATCCAGGATGCTATTGCAAAATATGGAAAATATTGCAATTACCTTCATATCTAACATTATTAGTAGTTAATGAATTCAGAACTGGTATTCTTAATTAGTCAGGTATTAAATAGACTCTCCAGCAAATAATTTTGCATAAGCATATGCATGCACACACACACAAAATTGCACCAGTGGGAGAAAGTAACAGATTCATAGGGCATGTTTATGGGTCTCTAGTTTTCTATAGTCATAAATATATATTGCAATTATTGCGCTGAACAATTTGCTGGTGTCAGTCTGTGTTTGGTGGTATTGAACTTATACCAGGCCAACTCCTGTCATCCAGACAAGTCTTCTAGGCTACTTGAGTGTCAGGTAGTGATTGTGCAGCTTCGCAAAGAGGAGGTAAGGGGCTCTGCAGTTCGCCAAGGGAATTTGTTTTTGATGGGCTGGAAGCCTCCCCCTTATGAGGACGACCATCATCCACTTTGTCAGTCTGAGGAAGCTCTGAACTCTCCTGTTCCATTTCTGGAGTTCTGGCATCTGCCTTGGTTTCCAAATTCAGTGCTGGTTTTGATAAGTGTGCTTCAGAGGGTGGTGATGTCTTCTGGGCATCTAATGAATCAACATGGGTTGCGGTTACACCGTTTTCTACTGGGGCTCCTTTTTCTGTTTTGGGGTCCTCCAGTGCACCTGCCCCCTGGACTGGAGGCATCATCTCCCTGTTTGGTTTCTTCTCTGTCCACACAATTGTGCCATATTTCTAGAAAGAAAAACAAAGTGAGTGTTAACTAGGGGAGCTTAAATAGTGGGGAGGTGCAGCTGCAAGCAGAATTAATTTATAAGTTCAAGTACTGGAACAGCATCCTTCTTGTCTCCTCTGGCCAGCAGCCTACATTTTTGTTAGCTGGGAAGAGCAGAAGAATGGCTTGAGCCATTGCATCTTTGAATCTGCAAAATCTGGGAAGGGTAAAACAACAAGTGAAAAGAAAAATGCACCCCCTAGATTGGACTTTCCTTCTCCTCAGTTCCAGGGTTCTCTTGCTCACAGCATGTGTGGCTCACTTCTTATTTTTGTTGGGCACTGGATTTCATTTCTTGCTATGTCCATATGGATACAATTCTAAACTGTTTGCTTTTGCACATGGAAAAATTTATGACTGGTTCCCAAATGACTTTGACCATTAGAGTCACAGGAGAACAATAGGATTCTTTAAAAAAAAAAGGAAAAGAAAAATAGAAAAAAACTAATAAAAGAAATTGGATTCAGTTTCTTGCAGATGGTCTCAGATAAAAAGATTCTTTAAAAGTTTGGTGGTTTGAATATCAATCTTTTGATTTACCTGATTGATTGTAGCCCCACTTTTCTTTACCTTGATTGAATCTCCCTGATCTTCAGGTGAGACTTGACCTCTTTCTCATTTATTTCTTTCTCATCTTAGTTTTCAAAATAGTTCCTAGCATTTAGCCTCCTGGTCTGTGGCTTGTATCATACCTCAGTTATAATCCTGCACATAAACCCTGGATGCTAAATATTGTATGTACCTAGAAGTACATTCTGCTACTTAGTTTTCAGCATTCTGTCACACTTCAGTATAACCAAGGAAAAAAAGCCAGGTTAAAACTGCAGAGTTGAGTAACAATAGAAGCGAATATGTGTAGCTCAGGGTTGAACTGTGGAGTCCTTGGGACTCTCTGAGCTTGGTTGTTTTCCTGCTGTACGGCCA